CTACCGTATGTAGCCAGCAGCCAGCGTGAGCGGCCAGCAGCCGCAGTGAGCGACCGACCGTCCAGAAGCCGGCAACTGATCTGCCTCACCTGGGAAGAGCGCAATGATGGTGCCAACTTGGGCCAGTGAAGCAACGTCCTCCACAACTAGACTGAACAAAATGACAGCAACTTGTCTGTTCCCTTTCCCCCAATTCCCCAGAGCTGTTCCCATCCCCCCAATTCCCCAATAAAAAAAAAAATTTTTAAAAAAAGAAAAAAAAAGAAAGGGAGACTCTGGTTACCCCAACTCAGGAGTCCTTACAATAGCCTCCTGGGGCCTCACTCTCCCATTTGGTAGATGAGCAAAGAGAGGTTCAGGAAGGTCCAGCTACAGGGCGGAGCTACAGGGGTGGCAGAAGCAGGACAGTACTGGGCAGGCTAGCGCCCCCACCTGTGAGGCAGTTCCTCCTATCCTTGGCAAGCAGCATGCCGTCGGGGCAGGCGCAAGTGAACTTGGGCGAGTGGGGGTTGATCTGTGGGGCTGGGAGACACAGGTACTGGCAGCCGCCATTGGGGAGGGTGGTCCTCTTACACCAGTTCACCCCTGAGGCAGAAAAGATGGGGAAGTCAGGGTGACAATGAGATCAGAAAAGTCTAGAAAATTCCAGAGCATCATTAGGGAAGTGGGGGAGGGAGTGACCATGCCATCTTTACCTCTTGGCTGGGTGAAGTTGTGAATAAGGACAATGTCCTCTGGTGACAACAGGTTTTCTGCCATCAAGTTAATGTCAGACCCCGTGAGGCGGTTGGCACTGAAAATGGCTTCGTTGATGATATCTGTCCAAAATACTTTATCCTACATGGGCATTAAGGTAGATGACAGGTCCCATTAATCACTGGGATGGGACACAGACCATTGTCTTCCCAACCCCTGAATCTCTGGGGCTGTCTGGGAAGATGCAGTTCTAGGTGGTAGCATCATTTCTTTAAAAAAAAAAATTTAATTGTGGTAAAATACATAATGTGCTATCTTAAACATTTTTGTGTCCAGTTCCATGGCATTAAGTACATTCACGCTGTTGTGCCACCATCACCATCAACCATCTCCAGAACTTTCTCATCTTCCCAAACTGAAACTGTCCCCATTAAACACTAAGTCCCCAATCCACCTCCCCAGCCCCTGGTACCCCTACTATTCTACTTTCTGTGTCTGTGGATTTGACTCCTCTAGGGACATTCTATAAGTGGAGTCATACAGTGTTTATCCTTTTGTGTCTGGCTTTTTTCACTGAGCATAATGTCCTTAAGGTTCATCCACGTTGTAGCAGGTGTCAGGATTTCCTTCCTTGTTAAGACTGAATAATATTCCATTGGGTGAATAGACCACATTTTGTTTGTCCAGTTATCTTTGACAGACACCCAGGATTGCTTTCACCTTTTGGCTATTGTGAATCAAGCTGCTTGAACATGGGTGTGTGATTATAGCAACATTTCTTTAAAGTAGACTTCCCCCACTGGGGCGCAATTTGGGGCCGATAACCCTTTGTGGTAGCCCCCTCTTCTCTTGTAGGCTGTTTAGTAGCATCCCTGGCCTCTACCCACTAGATGCCAGTAGTAACCCCCCACAAATTGTGACAACTGAAAAATCTCGACATTCCAAATGTCCCCTGAAGGGCAAGATGGCCTCCGATTGGGAACTGCTGCTTTAGACCTTTCAACTCTTTTGGCGAGAATAAAACAGAAATAACCCCAGAAATAACCCCTAAGACCTCTTTATAGTCATAGGCAGTTTTCTGAGTTAGTCTTGACTTGAATGAACTAAACAATGTTTGCTGACTCATTCGCACGAGTGCTCATGCCTCATACATGAGTGGCACTCAGTGAACAGCACTTGACTGTGAAGTTTCTCAAGCCCCAAAGAAGCAACCACATACTGGTACCCCCCAGCACCCACCTCAAAGATGGCCAAGGAAAATGGGTGCGCCAGCTTTTTCTTGTCCTCCAAAACTGTCTTCCGGTTCCCCCCATTGACATCAATGCTGGAGATAGAGTGGAGCTTGGAGTCGACCCAGTAGAGGCGGCCACTGGAAAGATCTGGAATCCACAGGTGGACAAGGAACGGTCACATGAGGAAGCCAGAGGGCCTTTGGGCCTGGCCACTCTGCTCCCAGCAGGAAGGAGTCCCTGAAGGACCCAGCTGAGATGTGCCCAGAAAAGTAGCTCTGATCACACTCCCCCACGTGTGGGCCAGGGGTTGGGGTGGGGAGGCAGGCAGTGGGGCCAGGGGTGGGTTTAGTTGTGAGGGCTGCATCATTATGTTCAGGGGCAGCCTGGACACTCTCCTCTCTCCTCCAGACTGTGCCCAACCCCCTGGGACCACAGTCCCACAAACATACCCAGGGTGATGCCATTGGGCCACTGGATGTCCTCTGTCACCAATGAATAAACGTCCACACCATTCAGGCCCCCCTTCTTGATCTTGGCAGGAGTCCCCCAATCCGTCCAGTACATGAAGCTGGTAGGAGAACAGGGAGAACAGACATGTGGACATGGGCGGGGCGGCTCCCAGCCAATGCTAAAGAGCAACCTCCACCTAAAGCAGCCAGGCCAGGACTCCAAAACAGTCCCTGGGGAGACCCAATTGGTTCCTTCTGCTCCCCCAACCTTGCCTACCCTCTTCAGGCCTACCACCTGGTGAGACCTGGCAGGATTTTAGAACCTTAAAAAGCAAAGGGGACTGGCCGAGTGGCGCGATGGTTAAGAACTGGCTTGGGACGCCAGAGGGCCCCGGTTCGGATCCCACATATGAGGGCCAGTGACACTGCCCTCNCCCAGATCTCCGCATAATCAGTTCTTATTCTGGACTCAGCTCAAATGTCACCTCCTTAGAGAATCCTTCCCTACCCTCGCCCCACCTGGTATTTGTCTGTTCCATTACTCTATTTAACATTATTCTTCTAAAATATAGTAATTATATCTATTTCCCCTTCTAAAATGTCAGGCTCTTGAGGGGACAGATTCTTACTCACTTTCATTGTCTTTTATTCACTGCAGCGTCCCATATGCCTAAAACAGGACCTGGCACACAATAGGTGCCCAATAAATATGTTGAATGAATGGATGAACAGATTTAGCAAAACCTTAACTCAGGGAAGAGCCCAGCAGATCTGCTCCCCAGCTGAGCCCAGTATCACCCCTGAGCCTGCAGCCTGTCCTGAGCTCTGGGGAAATGCTCTCTCCAGATCCTTCTCCCTGCCGAGTCCAGCCCATTAACAGATGGAGGACGTGCAAGAACAGAAGACGAAGGCACTTCAGGTTTAGCCAAATGGTTCATTCAGGAAATGGGATCAGTCACAGTAAGACATTCGGGCTATAAAAACGTTCTATACAGTCATTTAAAATCAAAACCCATCCTCCCAGAGCAGCCCGCAAAGACAACATTGACACGGTTCTCCCGAAGCGTGCTGCGCACAAGCCGAGCGAATCATCTGTACAGAGAACTGAAGCATCCCAGGGACAGTCTCCCCCAATGCAGACCCCCCCCCAGGGGTCACCGGACAAATGCAGCACCCAGGGTTTGTAAAAATAAATAGATTTTTTTCCACATATATGAGTGATAAGTGTTTCAACAAATATACAAAGTGCAAACATAACAAATGCCCCACTCTCCTGTACGGGGGTTTATTTACAGGCTTCAGAAAGAGAAACACAGCTCACAGTTTCCTCCAGGACAGAGCAGTGTTTCCTGGTTGTAGTGCACAACTGACAAAGGAAGCCAAGGGAGGCTCCCCCACTGTCTCTTCGATTGTAAACGCAACAGGTGTGACAATTTCAGAAAGCATTCTTGTTTCATAAGTTCCATACAATGACTGCACCAAGGGGATGTTGTCCAGGGCTGAAACGCCGTGTGTTTCCGATGGACACCCACCAGTGACAACTGTCTTGGGGAAATTAATGGCTCGGGGGCATCTGCCTAGAAGTGGAAACACTACTAGACAGTCCTGATCTTGGCTTTGAAGAGCTGGGAGAAAGGCCCAAGACAGCACTTCACCCGCACCCCCACCCCCACCCCGGGGCCTTCTAGGCCTGGGAGCCTATCCCTACCGGAACAGAAAACAGTGCAAAATAATAACAAATGTTGACTTTACACAATGTACAAGCCTGAACTGGAAAAGTGCAAGGGCACCTGGAAGGGGCTGGGGATGGGGCTCAGGACTGGTGTCTAGACAGCCACCCCCGGGCTGAAGGACGTTGTTAGAGGTCGGAGGCCACTTATCTTCACAAATGAGGTACCCGGGTATCTCAGGCACTTAATAAATATTAAGGGTGATGGGTGGCTCAGGCTTTCCCTGGGAGACTGTTGAGGTTTTTGGTTAATGAATGAGGCTCAGTTGGCCACCCCCAGTGTGATGGATTTGGCCATGTCAATACCAACACCAGGGTTCCCTTCCCGGCTTAAGGGGAGGGCACATACCCAGCTTAGAAAACACTAATTTGATCCTGATCTGGGGGTGGCAGAGCAAAAGCTTACTCTGGCGTCCAGCAAGGCTTGCAAGGCAGAGGTAAACACATTTACTCCTGAGTTTAGGGGCCCAGCAGCTACCTGGGACACTATGGGTAGGTCCTGCACCCCCCTATTCAAAGCTACTTGCTTTCTCTCACTCGGTGTCCATCCATCAGTTCCTCAGGTGAGGAGCCAGTCGAGGATGAGAGAAGGTCAAGAAAAAAAATCCCAACCAAAACCCATTTTGTGTGCGCCCACCTGCCTCCCAGACGAATAAATATATAAAACAAAGCTCTGGCAGACAGGTCCACCGCTGCCAGTGCTGAGGTGCAGCCGCCAGCAGTGCTTTTGGCCACTTCTTCCTCTGAACGGAACAGGAGGGCAATGAGGTCTCAGGAAGGGTTTTGGGCAGGTCAAGGGTCTGGGAAGAAAGTGTTCTTCCTGCCCTTGATGCGCTACAGCTTCTGGGGAAGGACAGGATTCGAGGCAGCAGCTCATGCCACATCATCATCCAGGCTGACCATCTGTCTCTGTCAACGAAATCATAAACGCCGGAAATAATCAGTCCGACGTCCAGTAAACATGGCCAGAGGCCACCTGCTCCTCATCACCGGGCTGGACCAGCAGTGAGTCACCTCCGCCCTAGTCTCCTGGCTCCTGACCTCGCCCCCAGGCTCTTTCCCCCACTGCCGCCAGAGGGCGCCTGTGAGTACCCGAGTGAGGTCCGGTTCTGGCCCTTTCCCAGTCCGTCCCACAGCAGCTACCAGGGGGCGCCTGAGTCAGGCCACGTCCCTCTTCTTCCTAGAAACATCCATGACTCCCACCTCACTCAGAGCAAAGCCCAAGTCCTCCCCATGGCCCACAAGGTCCTGCTCCATCTGCTTCACCCCCACTCCCTGCCCTTGTCTCCGCCCTCTTGCCCTCACTTGCTTTGCTACAGTCACAATGGCCCTCCCGCCTCTGCTCAAACACACCAGGCTTGGCCCAGCCTCAGGGCTTTTGCACAGGCTGCAGCCTCTGCGCACAGCACACTCCCTGCTCAGGGAAGCCTGCCCAAACCACCTTATTTAAAAATTGCCGGGGGCCGGCCGAGTAGCTCAGTTGGTTAAGAGCTC